CGGACATGATTATATTAGCTTAAGCTGTGTGCACACACACATATATATTTATGTATATATAATGAAAATGCATGTATATAGTGTACATTCTTATATGTACATAATATATTTTATATATATATATAGATGTATATATGTATATATATATATATATGTATAGTGGGTGTGTTGGTTTCTCCCTTGTCCGAACCCCCCGCCTTCTACACGCACCAAATCGGTGCAGTTCGGCTGGCCAGGTACGGCTTCGACGCCTCCGAGCAGGGCATCGAGGAGGCGTCGGAGGCCTTGGAGGCCATGGAGGACGGGGACCTCTACGCCGCTCGGCTCGATCCGTCGGGCGGCCGGGCGGCGGGCGTCGGAGGCCAGAGACCGCAAGACCACCCCCCCCCCCCAAGCAGCACGCGGATTCCAAACAAACCCAAGCTGGACGGGGATGGGTTTATTCAACGGAAATGGTTCTCTCTCTTGCGCCCGGTGAAGGGCCGGGTGGTCTGTGCCGAGCTTGGTGGCCCCACCCCTTTTTGACACTTTTTGTTGGTTTCCCGGTCCGGCTTCCTGTCAACCCCAAAAAATCGGATGGTTCCAATTCTTGTTTTGGTTTTGATGCAAAAGAACACGAAATCAGGGAAGAGGGATGAAATTTGGCGGTGCCCATGGTTTCATTCTCCCTGAATTAATCTGGACAGAAGTCAGGGCCCTTACTCCGCGGAAAGGTTTTACGAGCCCTAAGAACCCTACGAAGATTGTAAGTTGTTTTTTGGGAGGGGGGGGGGGGGCAAGATATTCCACGACTGCGGGTAAGCGAAGGAACCACACTTTTCAATTTGGAAAAGCTCTGGCGACTATGAACTGCCAGACATAGCTTACCTTTTACCCCCTTGCCCTGTCGTAGGTTCCATGGGTTCCGTCAAGTGCCGGCAGCCCTTGGGCGTTCCAAGCCACGGAACAGGTTCGGCGGTTGCCCTCTGGCAACCGGGCCATGGAAGCCTGCAGGATTCTTTTGCTTTATGCTGAGGGGGTGTCAGCAATTCAGGGTCTTTGGGGCCGAGGAATCCCGAAATGCTGAGCCAAACAAAGTCTTGGCTTATTCTTCCGGGGGGGGGTACCATGCCATCCGGGTCCCCGCAAGGCACATGTTGCTCTTGGACCACGGCCCATGGCCCTTTCCACGGCCTCCTTTTGGTCCGGTGCTGATCGAGATCCCCTTCCGGAAGCGTCGCTGCGTCGCTCGGGAGTTGGGATCCTTGAGGTCAACAAGGTGGCCATCGAGGAGGCGCTCTTTGGTGTCCTGGAGGCCCGGCAGCTGAGCGCGCTCACAGCGGAAGCGCTGAGCGAAGCTGGGAGTTGGGCCGGCGGTTCTTTTTGGTCTTCGGTCTACCCCCCCTTCTGGGCGGGTGGAAAAGCGTTCGGCCACTTGTTTTGCTTTCTTTTTTCCCCGAAATTCTTGAAAGGGTAGCGAAGGGTTCATTGGAAGCTGGGCCTGTCAAGGCTGGGCCCCCTATCAGTTTGCAATATGAGTTGATCCTTGCCCACTCTGCTTGATTGGCTTCCCACAAATAACATGTTGATTCCCGAAAAACCTAGTCGCCAGTTGGCAACCGGGAGCTGACTGGTTCAAACATCAGTCTGAACCCATCTGGAAGATGGCTGTGATTTCCCTTGTGAGGTCCCACTTGGAGATCACAGCCCCCTCTTTGAATCGAACAGGGAATTGAGTGGCCAGCTTCAGGAGGAGTGCCGGCTGGAGGCCAGTGCTGGCAAGCCTGCCACCAAGCAGGGTGTCTACTTGTTGCTGCGCAGCTTGTGCCCTGGACCCGGGTCGGTGGTCGGGCGAGCCGTCATGTTCCGTTTGGTGTCCCTGAAAAAAGAAAAAAACCCAAGAAAGGATGCCCTCACACGCACACAGACATACAATTTGGAGAAACATGGAGGAATTCCTGTTCGAAATTGCCTTGTCCGAGCTGGCTGCGGACTCACTGATTTCCCCCGGAGGAAACCACAATCGGTGTGGTGCATTTGGTGTAGGCGGTTTGTTGATTTGACCTGTTGGACTCAAGTCTGTAAGACCCCTCTGGGAGGTCGCTTGATTTTTTCCAAAGTGTCCAGGAGTGCCGTTCCGTGCCAACCCTAAAATTGAGTCCACTTGCACTGGATGTAGAGAACCCATGAACCCATGGCCAATCAGAGCCTCGCATAGATTCATGGGCGCGTTCAGCCTTGCTACCAGCGCTACTGACCAACTGAGTGATTGTTTGCCGCACATGGAAGAAAGATGCGGGGGCACAGCGTCACCAGTCTCTGGTAAAGTGATTGCGAGTTGCAAGCTAAATTCGGGTAGAGGGTCGGTAAGAGTCCCATAGACAATAGCCGTGCAGGCGGCGGGGTTTTGTTTGGTTCAAGTCAAGTGACGACGGAGAGAGAGCGAGAGAGAGAGAGAGAGAGTCAAGTGACGCCATGCTTTTCAACCGGATGGTTTCCGGAAAAGAAGGGGAATCCCTGCAATAAAATGGGGGCCTGCTGCAGAAAGGTGTTTTGCATACGGCGAGGGACTGCAAGCAAGCCCCTGAAACCGCTGGTGCGCGTGGCGATAAAGTATCATGCTACTTTTCAAGAGGTCAGCCTAGTGAAGGTGTGGGTGGGCCTCAAAATGATGAACTACAGGTGGTTAGGTTCCTCCTTTGTCTTTCTGGTGAAACCACTTCAGGACATACCCATATTATGGCCCGGGTTGGTGGGCCCACCAAAAGCATCCACTTCCACATCGCCAGACTTAGCTGGTCTGTGTAAAGTGTACGTTCCTTTCGGCCCGCAAGGGGCCCACGTTTGGTCTGCGTTATTCATCGCACCCAGGCTGCTCAGATTCAGCCTCCTGGATGCAGCCGGTGCGAGTGACGAGCGAGCAAACAACATGTTGGTTTTCCTCTAGCTTTTATTCGAAACCACCAGAGAAGGGATACCCTCAGAGAAAGACGCCCTTATGTCCCAATTTTCTCGGGCCAAAGCGATTTTTGCCTTCAGCTTCGGTGATGTTCAAGGGGCGCGGGGGAATCTTGGGAGCTTCATCAGCTCACCTGGAGGCTAAGCGATCTCACGCATGATGAAGGTCCCCTTTAAACAAGGAAGCTTCTGATTTCCCTGCGGGAATGATGGTAACGAGCACGATGCCATCTCAAGGGTCTTTGTTCAGAGTCTGTTGACTCTGGTGAGCTTCTTTCGCTGGCTGAAGCCCTGTTTCTTTTAGTCATCGCAAGGGTTTTTGCTTCGCATCCGCACCAAGTCTTTCAGAAAGAGCCCAGCTCGTTCTTTCCAAGGATGCCGCTTTCTTTCAACATGGCACCAATACCAGCACCCACCCACTGCTTTATTGACAGTACTTGAGATTTTGGACATGGAACAAAAACCGGTTGGGGGTGGTACTTGGAAGGCTAAGCATTTGGGCTCGGGCGTGAATGGGCGTCCAGCGAAGCGGCTTCTGCTGTTCCGTTTCTTCATGACGGACTCGGACTGCACGTTGCCTTTGCCTTTCCAAGTCGTTTCACTTGTTTGGTTTGCTTCTCCCGGGAAAAAAGCCGGCAAGTTCACCCTCGCGGCACCCGTTGGGATCTCAGAGGTTCGAAGCTGCGGTACTGGACCTCCCCAATCCGAAGACCAGCATGGCCTGAATCCGTCTAACCCCGAAGAAAAATCTACGAGCCCTTCCACCGATGGTGCTCTGGTCAGTTGAGGGAAGTTGCAACACGCAGACCTCCAGTGCCCATGTTTTGGTAGATGTTCAAAATCAGCTGCCCAAAACCGATCGCCATTGTCTAGGTCACTGGAGGTTAGGATTTGGGAGGCCTTGCTGCAACCTACCTCCCCAAAACTAAATGGAACAACTAGACACGTATGCTCACCCTTGCGGTCATATATGACCAAACGGCCCTTTCAATGACGTTTAAGGGCTTTGGTGCCCTTCAGTGAAATTGTGTCTTTCTCAACTTGGGAGAAGCACCCAACCCGACAAATGATCTTGGAGCGTATCCAAGGAGTATCTACCACACGGTGGCTGCGTTGCGCAACAAGCACCAAGGGAACCCACCCCTTTATTGGTGAAACACTCATTGTGGGGATGGGGGCCATAAGAGGTTTTCCCCGCGCCAAGGCGAGGCCTGGTTCCAAGAGTCGGTCAAGAAACTGCAGCAGAAGCGAGATGCTCGTTCCGGCCGGCTGGACCCAGCTCCATGGCAGAGAGATATTCAGAGAATCGGACGCCCGAAAGGCTTTGAGTAGTGGACAGGGACCTTCCCCAAAATGAAAGTGATCGGGTGTTGGTGGGGATGTGATTTTAACATGAACAATGCTACACAACACTGTGTTTTGTGGTGTTTTCTGCCAAAACAGGGCAAATGAAAGTAGTCCCAAAGCCTCTGACCGTCAGCTTCCAGATGCCTTCAGCCCAAAAGTCGTCACTTGCGGGAAGTTGCAACCTTTTGACCTCCCTGAAAAAACTGCGAACTATGGCTGGAATGTGGGGCTGCACCCGTTGTGAGACTTGTCTTAATTTGAAATCAGAAACAAGACTATAGATCAACCAGCCACTTGGGTTTTCCTTACCACCCAGAAAGCAAACCAAACCCAGGGATCACCTAGCCACTTGAAACTTCCCCTGCCATGTCCCCAAAAGTTTCCTTCCCAAAAACGTCCTCCTCCGTTTTTGTTTTCTTCTTTTTTCCCCGTCGAAGTACCCCGTGGCGCCGGGGAGAGGCGGCGGGGCCGGCGCTCGGCCCCGGCGCTCGCTCGCTGGAGGACGGGTACTTCCACCTCCCCGGCCGCGCGGAGTTGGCCCTGGAGGTGCAGCGCAAGGTGCTGCCGCAGTTCGGCTTCCAGGGCTCCAAGGCGAAAAATGTTTCGATCGCTTTCGATCGCTTTCGATCGCTTTCGATCGTTGTCGCGGAGACCCGTTTTCGCCCATTTGCTGAAGAGTATGGCTGAATTTGTTTTACCCTTGGGGGGTTTAAAGGGAATCTACCACTGCTGGAAATATGTTTACTTTTTCGACTTTCAAGGAAAGATGCTGCCGCCCAAGCCGCGAGAGAGCTGACCAAGGGGTGAGCCCCTTCTTGGGGAAGCCCAGCCTTTCGACGCTTGGGATAAAATCAATCTTGGTTTAGTCGACTCGCTCCCTGAGTGGCACTTTCAACTTGTTGGAAAGGCAGTTTTGCGGTGAAGACGAGGCTCAGACTTTTTTCATTTGGCCAATCCACTCGATCGGAAGTGAGTTGAGTCAATCGGACATGTACAGGCTTTTGTCCGGGTCCGGTCCGGAGAGCATTGAGGGTCGGCTTCTTGCTCGACCGTCCGGAAATGAGGATCTTGGGTCCCGGTGTCAAATGCACGCCACATACGATTCCGACACTGGCGGTTTGGGAGACTGGCGGCTTGGGAGATGGAACGGGCCATCCCAAGGAATCCTCCATTCGGGGCACATTTGGAGGCTTCGAACGGAGGGGGGGTGCGTCAAATGGGACAACAGGCTTCCAGTAGAAATCCAGAAGGCCAAAAAAGTCGGACCAATGATGGAGTGCCCTTTTGGTGGGGTGATGTTCGCGGAACGAAGGCGTTCGGGCGCCCAAAGGATATCATATACGTTGATGGACAAACTTCACTTCGCACCAGTTGGTAGCTGGCTTCTCCCAGTATTCAGAGGGCGTCATCCAACTGGTGCGAACTGGTTCGAGAGGATTGGTAGGGACACAGTTAGGCGCTAGGCATGTGAAGCCTGTGCAATTGTTTTTTTTTCCCATTTGGATCCAATCCACCCTTGAATAATCATTTCCACCGCACACGGCGCGCAGGAAGGCAGTAGCGACGCCTGGCAGCACGTTGGCGAGGTAAGATCAATTGGTTTTCTAGTTGGGGCAGGGCTGTGGAGTTTTTGCTGCGCTTTGGTGAGAGGTTCGGCCTGAAGCTGTTGGGGACAAGTGGGTGTGTCTGCAAAATGTCCCTTCCATTCAAGTGGTTTTGTTTTTGTTTGATATAGGTATTGTTGGCCTGTTGGTTTTAAAGGGAGTCGATCTCACTACTGGAAATATGTTCACATGTTGTTCCAGGGGTCTTAAGCAAATGGAAGGTTAACGTCCCAAAACAGGTGTGGGAGGCGTCCCAAGTGCAACCCTGCAAACTGTGGACGCCTAGGCCGGAGCGCTCCGAACCACTCCGGAGCTTGTCTGGCCAAAGACCCAAAATTCCTGCCCTTGAATTCTTTGTCCCATGCCTTATCCCCGGAATCGGTTCTCGGAAATGGAATTTTTGCAGCGGGGAGGATTCTGCGCGAGTCAAGGATCGTTTTGTTTGTTCGTCTCGTTTGCAACCATTCCTCCCGGGAAATCTTTGTCTAGGGCTTCCTCCGTTTCCGTGCTCGGAAGGGGCACGCATTGGTTGATGGTCCCCCCCCTCAGCGCAATGTGCAGGTGCCAAATATATGTTCGCCCCGGACTAATCAAGACTAATCAAGGGGTTCCCTCCAAAAGTCATGACTCCCCACTAAACCCATGCAGGGACACTCCACTATCAATAGACTGTGGCTTATTACTCCGAGGTTAAAATTGAAGACCCGAGTCTGCAAAAGATTGCGCCATGCCGATGGTTTGGCGGTCCTTTGCACATAAAAGAAACTTGAGGCCACTTTCAGTAGTTTTCCTCGAATGGCAAACTTGGGCCGAGGCAAAAGGACACTGGGACTCTACCAAGGGACGTCATCCATTTTGGGGGTTCCAGAGCCACCGCGTGCCAAAAAGCCCAGACAATCTTCCGCCCCAGGACAGCAATTTGAAATGTGCAACAAGTTCTCATTCTTCGAGAACCCCTATTTCAGGTTTCCCCTAACTGGTGGCTTGGGTTCTTTCAGGTAAACGGGAAAGTGCCCCCAAGCTCCAAGCCACCAATCCCAACCACGTACAACTTACACCCAGAGAACGACTGGCTGAGGATATGATCCGTCACTGTTCCGCCTTTCTCGGCGACAAGGACGTCGCACAGATGTTCGACGCCATCAACAAGCCCCTGGGTTTTCGGGACGGCGCCGTTGCCGTTAAGGTTTCACGGGGGCTGTTGACAGGCTTGGCTGACCTTTCTGGTGGATGTACCCTCACACCAATCATCATAAAATCTGATAGGGTGTCCGTTTCAAAGGAGAATTGTCTCCCAGGACCGCCCTGCCACTGTCAGGTTCCATGGAGGGTACTTACTTTAATTGTCATTTCCCGCATCAAAAAGCTGTTGCCCTTTTGCACCTTGGAACCCTCTCGCCTCTCTTCACGGAATCTGCTGGCCCCGTTCGGAGTCCCAGTTCTCCGGTCCCACCCTCCCGGGTGGGCACCGACCCATCCGGTCCGCTCATCCACCAAAGTTCTGCGAGGTTCGCGGAGTAAACCCATGTGCCTCGTTTTTTTTGCAAGGCAAAGGACGGATCGGCGTGGTTTGGGTGGGGTTTTGATTAGTTGCTCGCCAGCCCAGGTGGCTCAAGTGGGCAGAAAGTTCGGGGCTGTTTTCGAGGTAGGCGTTTAGGTCACCCTTCCTATGCACAGTTTAGGTGCAACCGCTCTAAGTGTGCTGCCCTCTTGTTTTCGAGGCAGGCCACGGCCGAGACGCCGGCTTTTGTCGGCTTAGGCTGTTTTTGCTATCGCGGAGGTTTCTGCTGAATTTGCTTTGGGTAGCCATGACCCCGGAGCGCCGCCCCCCCCCGGGCTAGCCTGTACAACCCCATATCGGGAAACCCCGCATGCTTTGGATTGGTGCTTTGGATTTGGATTTGAGCCGCTGGTTCTTGCAAAGGGTAAGCGGGTAAGAAACCCTGGAATGATGACTCCAATGCAACTTGCCAACAAACCCATGGTTTTCCCGTGGTTTCTTAGGTGGTGCGAAATGGATTTCGTCCATCCACAGCCCTCGCCCAGGAAGCTGGGCATGTCCTCCGCCGCCCGCCAGCGTTTCCGAAAGCTGGCCGGGAGCTTCGAGGACGCGTCCCCCGGTGATAATTTTCCACGGGTGCGTGTGGATTCGGGTTTTCTCCAAAATGACCTGGCCGTGTCCAGGGGTTGTTAAGGGAAACGCAAGGGAGAATTGTCAAGGGAAAATACGCATTTTAGGAGGTTCCCCTTGCAGACACATTTTGTCATGTTTAGGTTGCTCTCTTGTTTGAACCGGAATCAAAGACAATCAGTTGGTTACCTTCAAGCGGAGGTAAGAGAGAGCCCGGTTGATTCAGGCCTCCCTGTCTAGGGGAATCGAATGACCCGCAAGTTATTTTGATCCCTGACTTGACGCTGTCGGTTAGGGCATCGAATGTTGGGGAAAGGTATCTTTCTGGGGTAGGTGACAATGTTTGGTTGGGATAAGTGGAAAAATCGGGCTTCGCTGTCCCTTTGGTTTTTCTGCCCCCCCCCCCAACGACAGCAAAAACATAGATTTCTCATCGGTACCCCCGAGGGTCCAAGTACCTTCCTTGGACCCTCGGGGCTGGAGCTTTGGGTGGTGATGTGGATTTGTGAAACTCGCTTCCTGAGTCCTTGGACTTTAGACTTTTTGGGAAGACCTTTTTGGTCGTAAACAACAAGTTCAGACTTGTTCTCGCCAATCCACTCAGGAAGTGAGAAGCATTTGCCGTCTTGCGTTTTTTCTCTTTCTTCTCGCTGGTTCGTTGGGCATGCGCACATCATTTGGTAGACGTCGCCACGACATTCCCCAGGCCTGAGCGCAACGCCTACTTCTGTGGGCCCAGTTGATTAATAAACCCCTAGTTGATCTTGATGCTTTTGTTAGGGGTGCACTTTGCACCCACCTTAGCTTCAGGGGAAGCTGACAGGAAGACCACAATTTGGGGAGAGCACTCCCATGTTGACACCTGCCAAATGGCCCAGGTTTCAGTTTTACCGAAAGGAAATGACAACTTCGGTGTGTCCAGCCGTCCGGTTTTCCTTTGGTTGAAAGGTTTTTAAAATCTGGCTTAGTGGTTGGGTTTCCAGTTTGCTCACTGAAAGTTAGCTCACTTTTAGCTGGGGAGCAGCTCGCATACAGAGAGAGCAGGTCGAGGTTCTCAGGCCAAGTTGCCCTTGGGCTTGAATGGTTTGGATTTTCTAAGAAACCAACGACTGGAAATTCCATAGGAAAGGACACCCCGGATTTTGGTGGGTATTTAAGGCTAGCTTCCTGTAGCGTTGGTGGCTATGAGATCTGGATTTGAACCCCCGGAGCACCGAAGCATCAAGACAAGGCGCCCATGAGAGTCTCAAGCTGAGAAGAATCGCTGGGAGCCATGGCGAGAGGACCTCGCCATGGAAATCTCTGAATCCGTGAAGATGGGCACGTAGCATGTTGGTTTGTTTGATGCTATCGACTTTTGGCTGATCCAACTTGAGGCTGGGTTGCCTCTAATTGCCTTGCCGTCGCTTCACTCATAGCGTCCTGCAATGAATTTTGGGGAGCCACATGAACCACTTTGAAGTACCACAGGTCCAGTACTGTTCAAGATTACGATTCGTGGGCAAGGCATCAATTGGAACCAGAAAGCTTCGATCCGAAAGACCGGAACCCTTTTGCAAGGCTAGCTCAAGAGCATGTCAGCGTGAACGCTGGGTCGTTCGGCGTCTCATCTCCGGGCTTTCCAGCCGAGGCACACAAGGCAGCCCTATGAGACGCCTTGTAGCCTCAAGTGAGGGGCACTCTCGGCACCCGATTTGGGCCATAGGGACTGTCGGGCGCCCCTGCTCAAACTGGCGGGGTTTGCTGGCGTTCAAAGAGCTTGGTGCGAGGCCAACGGGACATTGGAGCGACCTCAAATCAAAGGGATGATTCAGCGCCTTTCATAGGGAATCCATTGCTTTGAGTCGGTGAAGGGTTGCACAGAGGTTGGGACCTTTGCTATTTGCATGCCAAGGGGCGTTTCTTTGCGCATGCGGGGCGGCTTGTTCTCCACAGGCTAGAGGGCCGTAGAAGCAAGTGAACGCCTTCAAATCAGGGCCAGCATGTTCTCGGGCTGCGGGGTCAGTCCTCTCCCTAAAGAACGTCAAGCCATCATGCCAGAACCCTCGCTCTGCTGTGACTTGCTTAGGCATGAATCCAGGAGACTACAAAGCCTACAAGCCTGCTTTTGGCGAGAAAAGAGTCCAAGGCCCGCACTGGCGGAGCGTGCACACAGCACGCCCCCACGTAACGCAAAAGGAGGGGCCACAGGTTTCTGTTTTCCCGTGGCCTATTCTCTTTCAACTGGCGAGAGACTCGAGCCTGCGAGCCGCGTTACACACCCCCGCCGTGGATCGGCGTTTTCCTTGGTTCCGGGCCCTCGCCAACCTACGTGTACCTCAGTTGCTTGGGCTGGATTCGAAAGGTGGGGTCACCGCATTGAACAACGCATCATTCACCGGCGTTGGCTGTTTCTGTGCAGGAATCCCAGTTGCTGGGGCCCAGAGGGGTCAAGAAGCGTGGCTCGGAAAGGCCGCAGATCGTTTTTCAGCAGATAGATTTCACTGCACGTGGGATGACAGGACAAAGTCGCAGTTCGGAATGGATGATCCGGACGATATCCATTGGGATATCCAGCTAGTTAGGTTTGATCACAGCACATTCAGATCCTGCGACATTCCACGAATTTGCGGGCACCTTAAACTCCCCGCACCGAGTTTTAGGACAGCAGTGCCTAGCTCTTTTGCCTTCGGAGCCTGACCTCGATTCGGCCCGACCGAACTGAGATGAGAATTCTTGACGGTACGGAGTCCTTCAGTGAGCGCCCCTTCCAAGAACCCACCATGGCAGGAGCTAGGAGAATCCTGCGCTAGCTTAAACAAACTGCAGCCTAATAAACCGAAACCGGGATAGATTCAGAAGGCAATTCGCCCACCCCTCAAAGCCGCGGAACACGAAACGCGAAACAACAAACAAACTGTTAGTTATAGATTCTCTATATACATATATGTAAGTATAACATCTTTGTTGGATTTTGCTTGGATTAGGACTTTCACTTTTTGCCAACTAATGTGTTTTCCATTAAGCCACAAAAAGTTAAAAACTTTTAGCAGGGGAGCAGAAAGCCACCGAGACATATTGACCGTGTTCTTGTTTCCCTCCGTTCTGATGGTCGGTCAAACTTCTTGCGGGTCAGCTCCTTCGTTCACGGCGAACCCGTGGACGCTCGGTTCAAGGCGCGCCTGGGCCCGGTCTCTGGTCTACTGAGGGCCGCGTGGTAGCGCCTTTTTGCACACGAACCTCGCATGCGTGGCAAAGTGCATGCGCAAAGTTGGTTTGAAGACGCAGAAAGAATTTTCTTGATTGGGGAGGGGGGGTGCCAAAAGTCCGTTGTTCATTCGGGGCAAATTGGGGAGACCTTTGGCCCCACCCCCCCAAGGGATGATACCGAGGACCGTTTGAGTGGGCGGACCTCCTTCCGTAGCAGAGGAGGGGGGCTGCATGTCCTCACAGTCCGGCCCTTGCGCCCTTGCGGCATGTCGTGATGGCATTCCACGATTCCACGGCCCAGTGACAGGTTTGGGCTGTTTCACGGGGGTTTTGCTCCAAATCAATCCTGAATCCTAATGCCAGCTGGTGGATTACCATGGCTTACCTCGCGTCACATTCAGGTTATTGATGGGGATTTGGGACCAGGATTCTTGAACCAAGTTAGGCGCAAAAACCTTTCGTGTTGCTAATGCTCTTGCTTTCTTGAGTGTTTATCCACTTCGGATTATGTTGCAAGCCGGAATTTTGCACCTTGCGAATGGGTCCGTGCAGCTCCTCCATGTGATCCAGTTCAATTCTGGCTCATGTGTGAGGCCCCGCCGCCAGTGGCTGTGAGACCATATTTTCATGCTTGGGCAATCCCAAGAACGTAATAGGAAGGAAGGGGCACGCCCCCGATTGGGAGACATATAGCTGTGGGTCAAAACCCTGTACCCCTGGTGAACATCAAAGTATGTGGCAAATGGATGTCTTCGTAGAGCCAACCTACAGCCCCCAAACCCCCAAACTATACGGGAAACCCGGGGACAAAACTGAGCAGGTCAAGACTGTTTCCTTGCCTCGTTGCACCGAAAGCGTCTGCTTCTCCGCATGGAGGTGCAAGGGCCCGGAGCCAGCCCTTGTGTGAGATCGATCGCCGCGCAGATTCAGGCGAATCCGCTCGAGGCCCACGGAGGCTTGTTGCCGCTAGGCGGGCAGAAGTTGCTTTGAGGACGAAAGGGTGGCATGAATAACCTTCTATTTGCTGAAATGATTATTTTTTTGATTTCCCCTGTTGGTTTTAAAGGGAACCTAGCACTACTGGACACACCTGTTTCATTTTTTCCAGGGGTCTGAACCAAATGGAAGATGCACAATGCAGAACTAGGTTCCCCAGCCAGGTGCCCTTTTACCGCAACTGTTTTGGTTGGGAGGGTTCCCCTACTACAATAGACTACAGAACAAAAGGGTACACTAAACCCTAACCTCTCTACTGGAGGACCTACATAACCTGAACCAAATTTTCTAGGGCTGAGAGTTGGTGTTGCCAATGCATCCTTAACAAAGTCTGCTTGAGCAGCGCAATCGCAGAATTCTTACTTTGGTCAACCTTATTCCCTGTTTCAGAAGCTTGGCCCAGATGGATAGTTCGGAGAAGATGTGGCAGTTGTTTGCATCTGTCCCAGTTGCCCAGTGGTGCCCCGGTTCATTCTTTTTTGAGAAGGGTTCCCTCTTAAAACTCAACCAACCAAAAGGAGAATGGCCTTGTGAGATATACATAGCCGAGTTTCTGGGTCTTGACCAGAGCCAGATGTGTTCAGCTGCGAGAAAGGCCAAGCAGACGGCTTCGGAGTTGTGTATTTTCAGAAGGGGCCCGCCCAACATCGCCCAACGCCTCCGCAACTTTCCGGCGAAACAAAACTCGAGGCAACTTGTTTGCAACCGCATCATGTAGAGAGCCCAAAGGGCTTGTGCAGGCGAGTTTGGGGGAGCCGGACCGGACGTTTCCCGCAAGCTGGCTTGCACCTCTCCGTTTATCACGCCCAGCGCGAATTCGAATTGGCGCTGCAGGGGGCTTAGCCCAGGCATCCCCCTCAGATCCGGCCATCAGTCCTTCAAAACCGGCTGGGGCCCGGCGCGAACCCTCCAAGCGGCACAGCAAACAACGGAGGAAATGTGTTTCCTTTTCATTGGCAGTTTTTTGTTTTTAAAGAAATAGGGGGCCGAAACATGGTGCTTTCCGGTTGGCGCAAACCATCTCAAGCGGCCACCCCAGTTTTGGGTTTCCCGATCGCGGTTGCATCATCAAGCTGGTGCTCCCAATGGATGGATGGCCATTGAAACATCCGTGCCAACGTGGAATCTGAATGAATTTGTCTCAGAATCGGGTTATGAGCGAAAGGCTCACTTCATTTGGGCTTCCTGTTGAAACCAATCAGGGCTAACTTTGAGGTACCAACACCGAAGGGGTCGAACACATGGGGGGTTGTACTAGGGATGGTGTCTCAAAGACAAGACGGTTTCCCCTTGGCTTGCCTTCAAGGAGCTTCCCTATCGACATGTGTCTCGAGGCAAAATGCAGGCCGCGTGCCAAACAGAAAGCAATCTGCCCATTGTGGCACACATAGTTATACATATGAAGCGGCTTTGATAGTTATGTATTTACTTGTGTGCATTTACTTATTTGTTCATTTGCAAGTCATTTATGGCTAGCCTTTGTAATTGTAATATATATATATATATGATGAATGCATTTTTGTTGCAAGTCTACAATATATATTTATATATATATATATATTTGTTGATTGTTGGGTTGGTTGGTTGGTTGGTTGGTTGGTTGGTTGGTTGGTTGGTTGGTTGGTTGGTTGGTTGGTTGGTTGGTTGGTTGGTTGGTTGGTTGGTTGGTTGGTTGGTTGGGTTGGTTGGTTGGTTGGTTGGTTGGTTGGTTGGTTGGTTGGTTGGTTGGTTGGTTGGTTGGTTGGTTGGTTGGTTGGTTGGTTGGTTGGTTGGTTGGTTGGTTGGTTGGTTGGTTGGTTGGTTGGTTGGTTGGTTGGTTGGTTGGTTGGTTGGTTGGTTGGTTGTTATTTCTTTCTTGTCACAGTTATGATTATTACTACTATGACTTTATGATTGTTATTGTTATCATTTATGTTTTTGTTATTGTTATTATTATTGCTAGTAGTACTAGTATTATTATTCTTAGATGTTTCTCTGTTTTTCTGTGTATGTACGTGCGTATGTGAAGAATTGACTATACATATGTATATTGAGGTCTTGGCAATTCTGAGCCGCGGCAGGATGGCCCCGGCGGTCTGAAGGCACGCTTTCCGGCACCCGCGCCCATCGAATCCAACTTGGATGCTCAGCCTGCTTAGGCAGGTTGTAACCCCAGACCCGAGCGGTGCGCTTTTCCAGTGGTGCCCTTCTTTCTTCCTTTCTGTTTGTTTGTCTGTCTGTCTCTGTCTTTCTGTCTCCGTCTGTCTGTCTCTGTCTGTCTCTGTCTGTCTCTGTCTGTCTCTGTCTGTCTCTGTCTGTCTCTGTCTGTCTCTGTCTGTCTCTGTCTGTCTCTGTCTGTCTCTGTCTGCCTGTCTGTCTCTGTCAGTCTGTCTGTCTGTCTCTGTCAGTCTGTCTGTTCGTCCGTCCGCCTGTCTGTCTGTGTTTGTTTCTGTTGTTTTTTCTTTCTTTCATGGGTGGGGTACATACTAAGGAAACTAAAGGCAGCCGCAACCAAATTTGTTTCAGGGCTCCTTTCTAGAGAAATGCGTCCAATTATTCTTTCCAGGGATCTGTGTGTTTTTTCAGTGTGTTCCATCCAAAACCAGAGGGATTCAACAGTTGTGTTTTGA